TCATCTTCACAGTATGGATTTATTAACCATATATTAATCTAATCAGTTATTGATGGGTATTTGGATTGTGTTCAGGTTTTATTATTATTATTATTTTTAGTATGATGAATAATGCTACTATGAATATTCTTATCCATGACTCTTGGTGCAAAAGTGCAAGACTTTTTCTAGATTACAAAATTTGGAGTGGAATTTCTGGCTCATTTCATATGTGTACATCCAATTTTACTATATAAAGTCAAATTCTTTTCCAAAATGTTTAAGTCAATCTACATGCCCATTAGCAATGTGTGAACAATCTCATTGCTCCAAATCCTCATCAACACGTCAAATTCTGCCATTCAGGTAAACATGAAATACTATTTCATTGTTGTTTTATTTTGCATTTTCCTGTTTACTAATGAGATTGAGCATCTTTTTATATGTTGATGGACTGTTCATGTTTTCTTCTCTCCTGGGAAATGCCTGTTCATGTCTTTTGCCATTTTTCTGTTGAGTTTGTCTTTTTCTTTTCCATTCATAAGAGTTCTTTACAAATTCTGAATTCTGATTATTTGTAAGATGAATGTGTTTCAAAAAGTTCTCCCAGTCTATTCTTTAGCTTATCATTCTCTTCATTGTGTCTTTTGATAAATAGTCATTCTTAATTTTTTTGTAGTCAGACTTATCAAATATTTTTATGGCTTGTTTTTTGTGACTTAAGAAATTATTCTCTATCCTATTGTCATAAAAATATTCTTCTACATTGTCTATCCGTCTATCTATCTACACACACATTTTAACTTTAATCCGCCAGAAAATTATATGTGTGTACATTATTCAGTTTCCTATATTTTTCCCCAAAAATTCCACTTATGGAGTAGCACATCTTTCCCCTACTGCTCTGCAGTGCCCTCTCTCATAAATCAAATAATCACACATGTGGGAGTCTGTTTCTGGGCTCTTTGTTCTGTACTGGCAATATAGCTGTGCACCGAAGGCACATTATTTTAATTACTATTGATATCTGATAGAGTGAGACTCACACCTGTTCTTCTTCAAGAATATTTGGTCATCCTTTCATATAAACTTTACAACAAGTTTGTCAAGTCCCATGAAAATACCTCTTTTCAAGCATTTTTAAAAGATGTATTAAATCTACAAATGAATTTGGGGATTTTTGACTTCTTGTTTATTCAGAGTCTTCTATTCCATTAATACGGTAAATTTTTCTTTGATTGGTGTCTTTTTAAATGTTCTCCAATGAAGTTTTCTAATTTAATCCACAGAGTTTGCACAATATTTTTAAAATTTATTTCAAAGCACTTGTATTCTGGCTGCAGTCATAGGTCATTTTTTTTCACTAGATCTTAAATATTACTGTTACTGACATGTAAAAATGCAATTGACATACCTCCCCACTTACACATGCAGATTTTCTATACCACATACTTATTAAACTCTTATTAATTCTAATAATTTACCTGTAGATTCTTTCGATTTTTTCACACAGACAATCGTGCTGACTGCAAATAATGAGAGTTTTGTATTTTTCTTTATAATCCTTATGTCTTTATGTCTTCTTTTTTGTCTTATTATACCTGCAAGGAAGCCAGTCTAATGTTGAATGGAGTGGTGCGAGCAGGCATCTTTGTCTTGTTCTGGGGTGCTATCTCCACAGGTGAATTCGGTTTGTGAAACTTTAGCTGCATACTTACTATTTGTGCATTTTTTTCTTTTTTGGGGTGGGGGCAGAGTCTAGGGGTCCTGTCTCCCAGCTCTTTTTCCTAGACCCTCCTTTTTTATTATTATTTATTATTATTATTATTTATGCCTATAGCACCTGGTCTTCCTAGGTGGTCTCCCATCCAAGTACTAACCAGGCTGGACCCTGCTTAGCTTCCGAGATCAGATATCCAGCTTGTTCAGGGCAGCATGGCCATAGACCATGGACTGCAGCTGGACTGGGGCGCGAACCCGGAACCTTCTGCGTGTAAAGCAGAACGTGCTAACCGCTACACTATGGAACTATGTCCTGTGTGTTTTTTTCTAACACTATGTTATACTTCAATAAAAAGTTTTTAAAAAATGTTTAAGAATATTTTCCCAATATCCTAACCTCTCCTTATAACTGTATACTCTAAGGATGCCACTGAGCAGGTTTGTACCTGCCTATTTTCAACCTGACTATACATTACTGCAGAAAACAAGTCTTAAGTGAGAACACTGATGGCTGCTTTCATGTATTTGAAGAACTATCAGGGAGAGGGGGGCCCAGGCACAGTCTCAGTAGTGCCTAAGGGCAGAATGGAGAGGGGAGATGGAAAAGCATGGAAATAGATTTCTATAAAGCAGAAGGAAAAGCTTTCTAACATTATTCTTGTCTTAGCAGGGAATGGGCTGCTTTTTTAAAAGGTGAGCTCCCTAGCACTGAAGTATTCAAACTGGACCGGTACACCCGAAGGATATTATGCAGGCCGCTCCCTTCCCCCAACAGTGGGTGGGGTGTGAACCATATCATGTCTTTTGTTTCTTCCAGGTCCAAGCTTTGACCTGGATTGGGTTCATTTCTTATTCTACTTTTAGGGGGTGCTCTGTGAACTCCACTCATAATATTTAGAAAACTGATTTTACGATAGAGAAGAGTCAACAAAGGCAAAACTGGTTCTTTGAAATTGTTAATAGTATTGGTAAACCCCACTCGAGTCTGATCAAAAAAGAGAGAAAGATAACACATTAGAACTTCTTTCTTCCAAAGAAAACCCAGCAAACATAGTAGGTGTGTATCCAACAATCGTTGAATAAAAGTGTTGTTATCTGTGTTATTTTTAATCCCCAGTCCCCTAAACGTTGCATTATTTGAGGTTTCTAGTTTTATATCCCATTATTCTACAATCTCAAATAATGGATAAAGTGATCCGGGCATTCATCACTTTAAAATCCAGTCAAAAAAAAGAGCTCTGTTAATGGAGGTTGACTACCTTTTGTAAAACAAAGCATTTTGAACAAAGTTTTAAAGATTTTTATGAGATGAGGGATAATTCTGATTTTATAGTTTTGATTTATTTTTACTTTCATTCAGCCACGCTCTTTCTAGCAAATCTCGTTTCTTGGCGGATAAAAATACATTCGCAGAGTTTCCCAGAAGCCGTGCCATCAGCCTCACAGACTAGAAGGAAGCCTTGTATCTCTATGCTGCTGTACAAATGTCTTCCTTCTCCATCCCTCCGAGCGCCCTCAACCCTCACCCCAATCTCTCACCCCTACCCCACCACTGGTTACCCAGATCAAAGTTATTTTCATTCTTACTTGGCTGAGAAAATCTGTGGAGTCCGGACAAGGTCGAGCCCAAAGAGAGCGACCCCTTGAGGGCAGACTCAGAGGCGTCTCGCGTCTGTTCTCTCTGCAGTCCCCGGAGAGTTGCGCCCCATCTCCAAGCGCAGGGAGCACGCCGGCCACGCCAAGAAATCCGTTACTAGGCTGCTGTGTCCCCAAGCGCCATTCTAGGACAGAAAAGGACGGGGAAAACCGCTGTGTTGATTTCCTAGGCCTGTGGGCTGGGCGCGCAGCGGCTCAGGTTACAGACAGGTGAGTCTGGTGGTTGGGTGAACCCCTGGCCAGACTCGCCCTCGCATCTCCTCGAGCTGGCACAGGTCTGATCACCCCCTGGAGGGGTGCACCCACTGCAGCCGTGGAGGCAGTGCTGTGCGTCCCTGGGCGCACCCGAGCAGGGGCTGTGGGAGCGCAGCGCTCTCCCCAAGGCCGGCACAGACGCTCTTAGAAACTTGGTATCTTTCTCTCACCAACTCCTCTTCCTTCTCTCCCAACCCCGTCAAGGTATAAAGGTAGACAGGAAAAACCAAAACCAAAGATAAATGCAAAGCTTTCCAGTCACCTCCCCAGTAGGGGCAGTAAGGGGATGTAGCCCATCTTCGCGTTACTAGCTTCCTGGAAAGGTATTTACCAGCCTCAGAATTTGGAGAGCGGGCGGTTAGGGGAGGCAATAATGGGAGTGGGCGAATATAAGAAATTCGTTTCGAAGCTGCCTTTTCATAATGTGCCCTTGGCTTTTGTTTCCATTATGTGTTAATTTGGGATGAGGGTGCTCCTGGGATGAAAGGTCTTGGAGTGAAAGCTGCTTTGGCGGAACAAGCCGACTTGTTTTTCTTACATTGCATGGCACAAAATAACAATGTGTTCTAAAGATGTTGAATTTTAAAATTTATTATTACTGTTTTTATTTGGGGAAACTGTTGTTGATGATGGGAGCTTAAACGCCCAAGCTCCCCTCCCCTTTACCAGATCAGATCCCTGGGGGTCTCCCCACAGCCTCCCCCTTCCGGCCGCCAAGATTTCAACAAGCCCCGGGAACAATCCACAAGGTCCAGAGGAACTGAGACATTTTTTGGCTTGCTTGTCGGAGACAAACACTCTTGGGGGTAGGAGGGGGCCCAACTCTCAAGAGGCCCCATATCTCTAGAGGGGTGCCCTGGGAAGCGGACCTGGGGTTTACCTCAGAGTTCGCCCCGAGGTACCTGTGATGGGAAATGGGGTTGGGGATTCATTAAAAAACGTTCTTCTTTTTAAAAAGGGGAGGGGGGGGAGAATCAGACGTTAAATTCTTTTGCAAACATTCATGCCTAAGGAAGGGCTGGAACAGGCAGCCCGGCCGCCGGAACCGGTCGGACAGGTAGCGAGCTTGTTGACACCGTTATGTTGCAGGGCGCATGCTCACTCCCAAGTTTCCTGGTGCCTTTTCTATTCCACCTTATGAAACTTTTTCCTCGGCGTGGTCTCACCCGCGATTTAAGGCATAGGTGTCGCTGAGCCAGAAGGCTAGGAATCGCCGGGAGTTCGGGGGAGAGGCCAAGGCCGCGCTGCGGCGGGGGACCGAGGGAGAGGGCCGACTAAGCGGAAAGGTGGGCTCTGGCCGACAGGAGCCGGGGACCCAGCCATTGCCGCCGCCTCTAGCGGGGAGCAGCCGGGAAGAGGGGGACGCAGTCCGGGTAGGGGGCCCCACTATGCCCAAAGTCTTCCTAGTAAAGAGGAGGAGCCTGGGGGTCTCGGTCCGCAGCTGGGATGAGCTCCCGGACGAGAAAAGGGCAGACACCTACATCCCAGGTGAGCGCGGGCGCGGGGTCCGGGCCTGGGCTCTGAGCTCCTGGGGTGGGGGCAGGGATGAGCAGGTCCCCTCTGTTCATCGGCTGAGGCTGGACTCCCCACCCCATGGCCCCTCTTCCAGGGGGAAGGAAGAAGTCTCTGAGAACGAGAGGATTAAGAGTGAGAGGGTTGGAAACCCGAGACATCTTGTTGCCCCTTCCCCCTAGTGGGCGCCTCTAATTGCCCAGCGGCGGGACCGTTGGCTGCAGAGCGGGTCGAGGTGGCCTAGAAGGGGAAATTGAAGGCCAGTAGGGGCTATCCCCAGTCTCACGTCCTCATGAGATTGCACAAAGATCCGTCTAGCCCGCGGGGGCTGGGTGGGTAGAGGTCAGACCCCTTCACTCCCATCCCAGAAAGAGGAAACGTGGCGCGCGGGGCCCCTGAGTTCCTCGTGGGCACGGGGATCGGGACCTAGGAGCCGCCCCTAGGACCCGGAGCTCGCTCGGGAGGCCGAGCCGGGGGCTCTCTTGCGCACCCCCTCGGCTTTAACCAGGTCTGGGGCGGGGTGGGGCGGCTGCTGCACCGCCCGCAGGTCAAACTGCCGCAGGCGCCCGGGCCTGACGCCGCGTGTCTGTGTGTCCCCGCGCGGACCCTTCCTCCGCAGTGGGCCTGGGACGTCTGCTCCTCGACCCCCCCGAAGACTGCCGCAGCGACGGCGGTAGCAGCAGCGGCGGCGGCAGCAGCAGCGCTGGGGAGCCTGGAGGCGCAGAGAGCAACTCGTCCCCGCGCGCCCCCGAGCGCCAAACCCGCGAGCCTGGAGACGCCGAGGGCCCCGGTGGACAACTAGCGGCGAAGCAGCGCCCGGTCGCCAGGTCGAAAATCAAGGTATGGTGCCGACTCTGCCCCCGCCGCCACGAGCACCACACCCTGGCGTCGGGATCTGGGGGCCCGCGCCCCTCCCTGCCGCACCCGCCCGCGTACCCGGGCACCGGGGAACCCAGCTCGCCCGCCGCACCGCTCCTGCACCTGCCCCTGGGCCGGGGCCAGGGCGCCTCCGCGCGTTCTCCCGCTGGCTGCTAAGCCAGCCGCCTGCGCCGCTGCGTCCCGGAGGCTGGCTCCCCGAGCCGGCACAGTCTACCGGGCAGCCTCGGGAACTGCCTAAAAGGCTCAGGAGCAGCTTTCTCCCTCCATCAGCCAATTCCGCGTGTAAGACCCAAAGACTAACCAGGCCGTCGGGGTTCCCGTGGTTGGAAAAGAGGGACACAGGCTCCGGAATCTCACCCTCTGGGGAGCAGTTCTTAGCGCTGTGTGAATTCTGAATTTCACATCCTTACTTGGGTTTTGGAGACTGTGGCGGCAGCTTGGCACACAGTGGGCCTTTCACAATAAGAGCTATTCCCAATGCCAATTATGGAGTGTCCGTTAGACACGAGGTCTGTGCGGCGCGCTTTACATTTGTCCTGTCTTTAAAATTTTCTTGAATTAAAATGAAGGATAAATGAGTTAAACTGAAAATTGCCTCAGTGCCCGCCCCAGTGGGTTGGAGTGTTCCTTCCTCTCTATCGTCGCGCTTCAGCTCCCCTCCCCCACTCCAGTCTTCTAGAATTGTAGGAGACATCTGCACTTCCATGATTGCCAGCGCAAAGAAATCCGCTACCCCCAAGATTAAAGAATCCCATTCCACTGACTCAATCAGCTAGAGCCAGGGAGTGGTGTTTTAGGAACACGAGCCCAATTTCTAGCCGGATGGGCCACAATGTGACCCTTTGCGGGCTCCCGGCCCTTGTTGTAGGTGATAATTCTTGGGCGGTCCGGCTGCCCAGGAGGGGGTGGAGAGGATAGAGAAGAGGAACCCAAGCGTTTTTGCTGTGGATTGGGAAAGCTTCCGTTACTTTTCCTGGGAGAGGCAATCTCTCCCCTATGCATACTCTTGGCTCCTGAGGCTTGGCTGGGAGTTGGGGGCGGAGAGGGCTGGGGAGGAGGATCTCTAGAGTTTGCTGTGGATTGGGAAAGTCTCCGTTACTTTTCCTGGGAGAGATAACCCCTCCCCTACGCGTATTCCTTATTCCTGGCTCCAGGGCTTGGCTGGGAGTGGGCCGGGGTGCATTCGGTTATGAATCGAGGCTAAAGGGCTGACTTGGAATCCTTTGGGAAGACATCTTTAAAGGATGCTCTTGAGAGGGCATACTACTTCGTGTTAAGGGTTCTGCTGAGGTTCAAAGTCAGCTAGCCTGAGGCTTTTCTGGGCCAGATGAGGTTAGGTGGGAGAGCTCAGTTTGCCTGAGGCTGGCAGCTCTGCCCTTCAGGAAATTCTACAAAGTGTCCCACTTGCATATTTATCATCAGGCTGGGAAGACAATTGAAACATTGTTTTGGATTGGATTTTAGACAGTTTGCCCCTCAATTGCCCAGATTACTCTCAAGAGAAAGTGGCTGAGGAAAAATATCCAGCCCCTTAACCAACATTTTAGGAGATCTTTCTTCCCTGCCCCAGGCAAACAGTGGGCTGGGAGCCCTGGCTTAAAGGGAATGAATAAACCTATGTGCTGCCCCAGGGGTGTGGGCGGTGGGGTGGGGTATTGCTTTTACTCTTCAACCATTAACATAGTTTCCGGAGGAGTGTTGTTTGTTTACTGAGGAAGGCCGGCAGCTTCCACCCACAGATAAGGAGACATCTTGGTGTTAAGATGCTCCAAGCCTCCGGAATTATCAGTCGTGATAGTGGCCATTTTCAAATGACTGGCCAAATTGCCCATGATTTAGCATGTTGTGTAACAATAAAGTTCTATGCAAAGCACGGAACTCTCAAGAATTAGTTTCCTAACCAGAGCGAAAAGCCACTAAAGGATAAGACTCATACATGATGCATAAATTTAGCAACTTAGTTTTAATGATTTTAAGACACTTGGCAGATGGCTCTTAGGACCAGAGGAAGGGCAAGTGTGAGTTCTTGACCTGCAGAGAGAGGCAACATCCCATCTAACAGTGTGGAGTGCCTGCTGTGTACCAGGTAGCAAGCCAGGAGATAAAAATGCTCCCACTCTAGCGTTCTATAATCCTCTGACAGTAATGGTTAAACCTCTAGGCTCTAGTTTTGTCACTTCTTAGCTGTGTGACCTTGGGCAAATTGTTAATCCCTCTGGGCCTCAGTTTCCTTGTCCTTAAAATGGGGATAATGATACTTATAGATTTGTGTGGATAAATGAGTTAAGATTGGAGCATGGTAGGTGCCCAATAACTCTAGCTAGAATTATTTGGATTGGTGGGGAGACGCAATTATTAATAACTCTAGTACGGGAAAGTAAATTCTAAACCAGAAGCACGGAAAAGATGTGGTAGATTCTGAGCAGGGGAAGTTTTCTTGGTGTGGATTTGAGGCCTATGGAAAAGGGGAGAAGCAGGCTTTAGGGTAGTATGGGCTCAGTCCAAAACTTGTATAAAGAAAGGACTCAGAACTATGGTAGCTGCAGTATGCAAAACTGTTGGGGATCAGGGAAAGTTGAAAGTGAAATGTAGCTAGGACAAGGTGAGATAGTGAAGGGACCAAGCCAAGTGTGGATGTTCCCTTGAGGGTGAGAAAGGGTCTCAGGAAGGTTTTTGAGAAGGAAAACCTCAGTTGAGTCCATCTTACCAGCTGTGGTTAGGGACATATGACCTCTTCTGAACTCAGTTCCCTGATGTGTAAAATAGAGAAATAATAGAATCAGCCTCTCAGAAGTGTTGCGTAGGTTAAATGTAAAATATTGAGCACTTTTGTATATTATAAATTGCCCAATAGGAATTTAGCTGACAATGACTTATAGCAAGTTTTGTTAACATCCAATATTAGTTTGCCTGTAGTAGAGACAAGGGATTTACCAACCTGACTACAACCAGTGTATCTGGAGAGGAGTGGTAGGTGCCGGTTAGGAAAAGTTCTTTCTCAGCCTAGTTGTCTTTTGACTGTGTGCCTTAGGGCAAGTTACGAAATTGTCTCTTTACTACTGAGGATTCTGTAATTTACAAAACAGATCAGGGTGAGGAGATGATGTGCCTCTGGGAAAGCGTTCATGCCAGAGGTCCAGGTCACTTTAAGTCCCTTTTGTGCTGGAACCATTTGTAGAGACCCCCTCCCCATCATCATTGTCCTTCCAAGGTTTATTAGAAACAAAGTTAACTCTGAAGTTAAATCAGTTTGTTGACTGATATTATTCATTCCTTATTCAGAGTGGCTGGTGGGACCCAGGTACAAGTTTAGACTAGCAAGTGAATTTGTCTTCTTACCCGATCCCATTCTTTTTCTCTCTTCTTTTGGCCTCTCCCAAGGATTCTTCAAAGGAATTGAGATTAGAATTATTTCGAAAGTATTCTTGGCTTTTCACCTGGCTCTGTAGTCCGGAGTCTTCCAGTAGTGACAGATGTGTGAATGTGGAGTAGTCTTTTTCTTTTTCCATCATTTTTTTATGAAGATTTTCAAAGGCAGAGTACCTGTCACCTGGACCCAATCACGATGAACCGGTGGCAAGTCCCACCCATCCCTCCCCTGACCTTATTTTAAGGCAAATCTCAGACATTATAAATATTTTGGAATGTGTCTCTAATAGATAAAGACCAAAATATATGATTACACTCATATTCACAATGGTGTTCACATTGTTATTTGTTTCATAAATTCATACCTTTATTTTTTCAGTTTGCTGAATTAGGTCTACATAATGTCCACGCATTGTAATTGATTTATGTGTCATTCAAGTGTCTTTTTACATATTTTCCCTCCCTCTCTTTTTCAGTTAGCCGTTGAGGAGATGGTTAATTTGTTTGTGGAGTTTCCAGCAATCTGGACTTTATAGAAGGCATCACCTTGGTGTTTAATGTTCCTTGTCACCTACATTTTCTCTAAATGGTAGTTGGGTCTGCAGCTGCACTGTCCAAAATGGTATCCACAGGCATTTGTGACTATTTAAATTTAAATTAATTAAAACTAAAAATTATATCCCTCAGCCCATATTTCAAGCGCTTAGTAGCCACTTGGTTAGTGGCTACTCTATTGGACAGTACAGATTAGGACATTTCTATTATTGAAGAAAGTTCTATTGGACAACACTGCTTTAGATGCTTGATTGGGTTTATTTTATTTTAGCTAAAGTACGTCACAGTGGGCACATCAAGGGGCACATAATATTTGGTTGTCTCTTGTGATATTAGCAGTCATTGAGGCTCAAGGTCTAACTATTTTAGGTTATTAGGGGTTGCAGAACAGTAATATTCTAACTCTGTCCCGTATTTATTAGCTGAAATTCTTCTATAGGGAGACACTTCCCCTCATCTGCCATTTGGTTTCCCAGTGAGACAGTTCATTTAGGAAAAGCAAAATATGATTCCTTTTATTAACTAGTTTTCAAGATAATCAGTTGGTTCACCAGAATTCTCTAGTGATGGCCAATTAGTTTGTGTTTAACTATTATTGTGAATCATAGATTTAAGTAGTTTACAAAAACCCATCCATTTGATATTTTGAAGAGAACATAAATTCTGTCCCTGACTCCTTTCTTATTTTGTCTCCCAAAAGAGAATTGGATGTCCTTCTCCCTGCCCCCATTGTAACTTGCTACTCATCTCCCTGACTACACATTTGGCTAATCAGACTCCTTTTCTTGATTCTAAGTCTGCCAAAGGCAGAGAACAAGCCCCTACTGGGCTTGTATCTCCAATACCAAGTGAAATAATGCCTGACCCACGAGAATATAAGTCAGTACAGAACAGAAATACAGGCAGGGAAGAAGTCAACAGTCCCTACACTTAAGTGACAGCATTTGAAGTAAAACAAGAAGAAAAGGGAGATCTTAGAAAATACTTAGAATCAATGCTCAGAAAAGTTTGAATTAATTTAAAGGGGGAAAAGGAGG